GATCAAATTTAGAGTTACTGATCATATGATTTACTTATCAACCAATCAGAATAAAGCAAATTTTAATACTTTTTGCGTTTATAATCTATAATAATATTTTAAATATATAAGGTTTGAATTTTATACTTTTTTATTAATATATTCGTAAACACACTTTATATAAGTATCATGCAAATTTATTAAAATTAAAATTGTATATAAAAAAAGTTTCTTTGAATAAATGCACGCTGATATATTTATTTTTATTATATATAAGAACTAAAATTTTCTAATGACCACTGGCTTAAAAATTAAAAAATGTTCGTAATATCACACAATGGTATATATGCATTAGAAAAAATTTCATCTTTATCGAACAAGTTAGTTAATCCAAGACGTGAAGAATTTTCTATAAATGCTAAATAATATAATAGTATTTAGTACTATACTAAATTAATATACGCTTAATTTATATATATGCTGAAAAACACTATTTTGCTAATAGCTATTTCATCTATACTCAATTTAATTAACATCACACGGGTAACAATTTATTAACACTAACCCTATGTAAAGTTAGTTAAATAGGTAAAATAGCTGTTAAGAAAATAAGTATATACTATACCTGCTATTTTTTCTTTTAATTGATTGTCATTTCCAGTTTTTGAAATCAATATTTCAGCTTTATCAAAATCACAATCTTCTGACTGTAAAGCACTATCTGTATCTGATTGTAAAGTGCTATCCGTATCTGATTTATTTTTTTTGTCCTCTTCTATCTTACATAATCATTGATTATATGAATATGTTAAATCATTAATAGCTTCAGATAGATAAAGAAAACAATATTCACATCGTAAACCTTGCAATTGAAAGCATTTTTCATGATAAGCATGTCCGCATATTAACACCTTAATCTTATTATCCATTGTTTCAAAACAATTAATACGATCACAAAGTTTTTGTTGGCTTGGTATAGTTTGTGAATGATATCCAAGTGGAAGAGCACCTAATGAAAATCTATATTTAATATATGGAAAATAATAATATACTTTTTTAACAGTTTTTCCCTCAATTCTTTTTTCTATCTGGCCTTGAGATTTCCAAATGTTTTCAAAAAAATCTAAAAGAAATATTGCTGTAGCTTTAGCTAATTCATCAAGATCCTTTTTTGTATATGGATAACTACGTTCAGATGCAAATAACATTGCAAAATTATTATTTTGTCGAAGGTTATCTACAAATAAAGCATCACGTCGAAGAGACTTTGCTGTATTAATTTTTGCATTTGTATGACGGCGAAGCAAGCTATGAAAATTCTCAACCACATATTCATCAAATAAGTTTAAATGACTTTCCAAAATATCTATTATAGAATGTCCAGTCAACCTCCAATAATGAACATCTGAAATAAATGCAAGTAAAATTTTATCATAGTTGTGCCGATTAAATCTTTTCATAACACTCCATAGTCTATATACAGTACTAACATATTCATTAAAGTGATTTTCTCGAAACAAGATAGTGTAAATATCAAGTGTCGCAGGTATCAAATTATCTAGTAAATCTAAAAATGTTCTATATCCTATATCTTTTGAAAGTCCAAATCTTGTTACTATATATTTTTTGACAATTTGCCAGCCTGCGTGTGCTAAATAGAGTAGAAGATTAATTCTCCAGGGTCTTGGCGTAGCAGCAAGTTTTTTTTTTTTTTTAAATACAGTTCGGTATAAAAGATCAAAAAATCCCCAAAATACTAAACAAACTGCTTCTCGTGAATTCAATGATAAATGAAGAGCACCAAGAAATGGAACTAGATGAATAATTTCATTTGGAACTTTTGAATCATGAAATTTTAATTTTTGAACAATAGCTTTTCTTATATACAGCTGCCCTGAAAAGTCTGCCGGAATAGGAATTATATAATTGCTCAAATATTCCTGCATTTCAGGTAATCTTTTAAAATATATATCGTTAATTTTGAATTTATTATAATACAGTAATAGCAATGTTATAAATTAACTAACTTACGAACCCTATAAATGTTTTAATAGCTTCAATATAATTGTTCATATTTTTTAAATCCAGTTGTATTAGATCAATAAGCTTTGTTTGATTAAATTTACGCTTATATTCTTTGGGAATATCGGCATCATAAGAATGTACTACCAAAGATTCAATAAGATCAGATTCATTTGTAAACATTATATCACGAATCCATTTCCAATTAGCTTTTTCAAAATTATAGCTATGGGCAAATGAAATCATATATTGTTCCCAAAGAATAGTTCTAAGAAGAACAGAGTCTATACCATTAAAATTATGAACTGAAAATCCACGTTCAGAATAAAAAGGAATTGGCGGTATTTCTGCTGTATTAAACAGTACAGTTGCCATATGAGCTATTTGAGGAATTGAGGTCGTACTAGGTATACGTGTTCCATGAATGTTATGGTAATCATCGATACAACCAATTATAAGATTGTTTGACTATAATTTACCCATAATTATTAAATATTAATACAATAATTTTTATTTAAAATTTGATCGAAATTTTACTTACATGATTTTTTATGTATTTTTGAACACTTAGTTCATGAGATTTTACGATCTCTTCAAGCTTATTAAAAGCCGTTTGGTAAGTTGAACATATTCCCATATTAGCCATAGTATTTATACAATATGTAGATGCTCCTGATCTCAACATGAATAATCCAATTTCAGTCTTTACATTACTTATTTGTTTATTACGTAACCCTGCTATTTGGTAACAGAGCAACATAACTTTTTTGTACAAAGAGTTTTTAGTTTGTTGATTTTTGCCCGCAGGGTTCATAGCTAAAAAAAGTGTGTTAAACAGCCCTTTTAATTTTGGCTCTCGACTTTCAATTACATTAATAAATTCTTGTACATCAAGAATAGGCGGATTTCCTTCACGTTGATAATTATATAGTACTTTAGTAAGATCAGAAATCTGTGTCTCAAAAAGCTTTGAAAAATTATCAGATTCTAAAGATTTTATTAAAAATTAAAAATTGTACAATATAAATATAACAATTCTCTAAACATTATATATAATAATTAAATTACCCTTTATTGTATTTAACCCAGGTTGATTATGCGCTAACTCTACACTTTGAACATAATCATTACCATCATATATATAATTTGTTTCTGCTATTTGAATCAGTTTTTTGAGCTGGTTTTCTTTATTCACCAATTTATTTTCATCCGAATCATCAAGCAGTTCGTCATTATTGTGCAGACTTTCCTCGAAACCTATCTCTTCTTCTTTATTCGATTCAATTAATTCCTCCTCTTCTTCAATTATCCCAGCCTCAGCTACCACTATATTCGTTTTATCTTGTGATCGCATCTTCAATCGATTGTTAGCACCTCCAGGTTTATAAGACAAATCGATACTTTTTTTTGATATTTTGATTTTTTTTTTCTTTTTTTTTGCCCGATCATATACGACATATTTATTATAATGAAACTGACATAGCTGATCGTTAATCTGAAGTTGAACAGCATCTGCTGGACTTTGTTTTACCCTCTCAAGTAGGTTTTCAGTTAGTTTTCTGAACTTTTCATTAGTGCCTTGTTGACCACATAAAGCACAAGGACCTTCATTTTGACGTCGTTTTCCTTTTAACATCATTACTAAGGAAATTCAAAATTAAAATGGGATCAGGAAAAACTATTTGGGGATCAGTAAAGTAGGCATTATAACGAACCTTGTATTAAAAATCCGGGTTGCTTTATTATGTATTGCCGCGTAACTTAAATATGCAGCTTTTAGATATCTTTAATAGATTATTTTAATCATTCTGATTGGTCCATATCACATGCAACTCTAAATTTGATCGACCAATAAGATAGATTTTTAACCATGCTGTTTAGTAGATTTGTTTAGTGTAGTTTCCTCTTTTTCTGTTTGCTCAGTATTTTCTTTAGAATTTTCATCTTCGATTGTAGTTTCAGAGATATTATCTTTGGATATATTAGAGTTTGAAGTAGAAGGTTTAGGGAAGATAATATTGAAGATTGTAACTTTTTGTTT